CTCAATATTAGCGGGTTCTCTTTTTCCTGTCTTTAAGCATAAAATGTTTTGCTTTTTTGCTTGATCGTTTGGGGATAAGAGGATGTCAGAGAGCAGGAGTGGGGCAAGTGCTGCAATTTGTGCAGTTGTTCTGCTGTGGTCCTAAGTACCTCCTCAAGCCTGCAATTCCTCTCCTTTCATTTCACCACAGGGGGATGGGAAGAGAGGGAAAATGGATGTTGCAAAAGCTCAGAATTGCCTGATTCTTTTTCACCTACTCAGTTGCACCTTGAGAATATGCTTTGTGAGACTGATGATATTTTCTAATTTTGCCCAAACAATATGAATATTCTTCACATCTTAAATATTAGTTTTGATATGTTTTGGTGTGTTTTGTAGTTTGAATAAATAATTTTTAAAAGTCTCTAAAAACACTGATGATTAAGGGAAACATTTTAGATGAAGTATTTTTAGGGTTTTTTATAAATTGAAATAATTTAGTAACTATTTTTGAAACAATGCTTGTTATCCATAAACTGGTCCTTTGAATACTGAGTATTTGTATTCAGTATCTGTTGCAGGTGAAGAGGTAAATGAACATCTTATGACTTGAAATAAGTTACAGTATTCATGTTCAACTTGTTTATGAAATACTGATTTTAAATTTATCAAAATTTTTGAGATTAGTTTTAGTCTTGCCACCTGCTCTCATGGTAGTGAATAGTCTCACTGCTAAAAGAACTCTAGAAGTTTGTTTTTAATTTGAACTTTTCATCTTCTAACTGAAAACTTATTATAATCAGTTTATTGTATGAACATTTATTATAATCTTACTACAGATTACTCTGATGTTTTGTACAGTTCTGGTTATAGCAGTATACTTTTATGTTTGTGTAATACATGTTTTTGCCGTGTTTTGCCCAACTCCAGTCCAGACACAACTGGTGCTTCATTGGCAGTTCAGCTAATGATAGAAGAATATCTCACTTAGAATTTTCTCTTTGTCTTGTATTTCTAGATAGATAGATATGAGTTAAGCATATTAATGGAAGATGAAGTATGGTTGAGTTGAAGCTGTTGCTACTGACAGTCTGATGAAGAAGTGGTTTTCATTTTGAATGTTTTAAATGTTATTTTTTTAAGCATTCCAAATTCACAGGTTTGTATACAGGAAAAATGGCAATGCTGATGAAGGCATAGCTGTGTAAGAAAAATTAATCTATGGCAAGTGGTGGTAGAAATAATATTATGTGTTAGAGCAGCTAATACAGAAGGCAAAAAAATTGTAAACTCTGGTGCACAAACTTCCTCATGTGTAAAAAAGAAGCAGCAGACCTCAAAGCTAAGTACTCACTGAGAACAAGAAACGTTCTCTGAATTAGAATGGGTATGTTAAAACTAACTATCTAATACAACAAGTAGCTGATCCCTGCTGTGTAGAAAGAGGTTGTTAGTAAGGTGGATGTTAGTAAACATCAGTTAAGTTTTTTCTAATGGAAACAGGTTGGTATTTTATCACCCATGGAATATGGAGGAGGTCACAGAGAGAGATGATATAAGCAAGTATCTTCATAGAGTCCCTTTAATATCCAGTGGAGTTCTGTGTTGAGTCCATAAGCCTATCTTTTGAGGGATTTTTGGTCTCCATTGAGAAACTAGGCTGTCAGGTCACAGACGTACTGGAAAGCAGACTGGATTCACTCAATGTGCGTTTGTCCATGAGGAGCAGACTGGTGATGCTCTCCTCCGTGGTGCGTGAGGACTCCCCCTGCTTGCATACTTAAGGAGAGTAGCCAGTCAAGGAGTTTATATGCCTGTATTTTCCTTGGGCTCACGGGTAGATTAGTGTCTCTTTTCATTTCCCTAACTAGATAAATGTTTCCTGTGTAGCTTTAATTATTTTTTTTCATGTATATTAAAGAATAGTTGAACTCTCAGTGCTGGGAAGGGTGCCTGGTCTTCAAGTTTTTATTGCTTCATCTTTGGAGGGGATAAAAAAAGTAGGAATAGGTAAGAGACACTATTAGCTTTGTCTGAGATGTGAGGGTTATCTAGATAGCCAGTATCGAGTCTTGTAATCTAATAATTGAATTTCGGATTTTTATAGCATTTTTATTGTTTCACATTGAGAAAATTTTTAAATTGCATCTTATTTAATATGAACAATATGTTATAGGCCATTACAAATCAACTACAAACCTGTAAAGAATTAATCTGTCTCAGAGTAAGATCCCAAGTGTGATCATAATTGTTTAATAGATCTCTTTGCTCTTTGTTTGAAGATCTGAAAAGAACTTAAGTATAAAACTGTAAAGAAAATTGCTTGGACTAAGGAGTGACAAGACTAATAGACAGTGATTTTTTTTTTATACTAATCAAATGTATCCATAAACAAAACACAAGTAACTGATTAAATCACTGTGCAAGTATCAAAACTAAATCTATTTGTCTGTTTAAAACTGCACTAACCCTCTGTAAAGTAAATTATGGCTCTTATATGTTGTAAAGGCATGGCATTAGGGGAGTATTTTAAAAAAGAGAAGGTAGATACAGAACCGAAGAATATAGAAGAATAAACTTACTAGAGCTAATTTTGTATCATGTTAGAAATGTAAGACAATGTAAGTCTGAAGCATATTGTGTCTTAACTAAATAGTGGCTGCTAGAACTACAAAGTCTGGTAAGGTCATTTTGCACATAGTTCTCAGTTTGAAAGGCACTCAGGGTTATGCCTTTGTCAGATCATGTATCAATGTCTGAAAGAACCGTAAAAATAAAAAGTTAAGCTCTGGCATCACAGTTTGAAATAAGCTTGTAATTTTTGTGAAGACAAAATCAACAGATCAGTACAAAGGTAATTACAATGATACAGCAAAGGGAACAAGTGTAGCAACTAAAATTCCAGCAGGAGAAAATTATGAAAATCTCTTTCTCCAAAGTTGTTTTCTGTGGATTTTTTTTATAAGTAAGTTCTATCAAGTTTCATTTATTTTTTTAAGATATCAGGTGGTTATAAGCACGTCTCTAGATTATGTAGCCATAAGACTGAAGGTAAACATTGAAATGTTATTTAAGCAGCTAGCAAGTTTATAAATGTTTTTCTCCAAGTTACCATTCATGCATTTTTTATGAATATCGTTTATGGATTACATAGGAAACGCATGATGTGCACTTGCACTCATAATACATTTTGTTGAGCATGTACAAAGAGTTGTTTAAGGCAATTCTGTGTTTTAATGGTGTATTTTATCATATGGTTATAAGATTGTAATAATTTGATATAAATGTGTATCACTGCAAAAATGGTCAGTCCTACCTTCCCTCAGTTCTGGCTGCTTGTTCCCAAGAGCTTCAGATGTTCTCTTCGAGCTAAAAAGTAGTGAGAGATGATGGCACGATGATTTTAGCATAACAGTAACATAGATGTCGAGGCAAATAAAGGATAAAACACATGAGGGATACAGCTGAGAGAGCATCCTTTCAGAAATGGTCTGGGTGCATTGGTTTGAAGAAAATGCCTAACAGTGGCCCAACTACCTTTGTTTATTATTTAGCTTTTGGTGTGTTCTCTGGGTGGTTTTTTTCATTTATTTGGTTGGTTGGTTGGTTGGGTTTTGGGTAGTATATAAAACTAGAAATGTCTTAAGAATCCTAGTCCTCATTCATTGTCATTCATTTATTGACAGTAAACTGAAGGTATAAAGCATATATGCTCAATTCCATGCCTTGTAAGCACCAAAGAAAAAGCATAATTAGTGATTTCTGAATTGATAATATACCAATCCTGAAAGTGTAGGTCTGTTCTATATTCTATATTCTATATTCTATATTCTATATTCTATATTCATTCTATATTCTATCCTGTTTCTCTTTGTGTTTGTACATTTCTTTTTAAATATTATTTTCTTGGAGTTAAGATGTTAAACTATGCAGTTACAGTAAGTGATATTTAAAACTCAGATGGCAGTCATAGGTAGCTACTTAGTTTGCTTGGGCAAATCAAACCTATTTGTCTGGCATAGTTCTTTTGTGTTGCAAGTTAAGCTACATCTCTTTCAGGCTGTTAATAATTTGCTGTACAGTGACAAACATGCAGTCTTAACAAATGTACTCTTGCACTGTTAATGCACAGGAAAGGTCATTTTTCCTTCTTACTCCTCTGACCATCTGCTTTTCACCCCTTTATTGGCATCCTCTTATTCGTTGCAACAAATATTACTTCCAACACTCCTCACATTGATTTCTAACATAGTTCTTGTTCACTTATATGGTAGTGATTTGAATGCTACTCAACAGCCTGCAATGATGAACCTGCATCACCCACTTCCTGGGTTTTCAACTTTGTGCTTTTTCCCCTTTTGCCCTGCATTTTTGGAAGAGCTTCTTTGTGAATACCTACTAGCCAGATGATAGTGTTTCTTCAAATGTCTCTTTAACATCATCTTTCTAGAAAGCTAATATAAATCTTGATCTTCAGCTGTCATACCAGTCAATATTATCTCATTCTCTCTTTTTGCATGTGTTCTCATCTCTCTCTCTCTCTGCTGTCTTATACTTCATCTATGATTTCTGAAAAAGTAGTGGTTAAAAGGAAGTTTTTCTAGGATAAGAGATCCTGAGTCCCGTAGAGTGATGATGAGTCACCTCAGCTTTGTTCTATAACCTTCATCATCCCTAAGGACTAGCATCAGTTCTCCCTGGAATCAAACCTGAAGATGAGTTGAGTAAGTTAGAAAAAGGAAGGAAAGAGGTTTCTGCCCCACTTTACAGTCTGTTGAAACCACACTTGGACTTTTACTTGCAGTATGATAGTTGGAGGTACTACAATTCTTTTGGATTCCAAATAATAAAAAATTTGAATGGAAACACTGATGTTCTGCTATTAGACATCTAATGGTGATGTTATGCTTGGAAAATCAGGAAACGTTTTAAGCATTTTTAATATTGACTTGTGAGATTGAAAAAATAGCTGAAGGAACACTGAAGTGTTTGTTTCTCTGTTTGTTTTTTTTTTTCTCCAGATAAATACCCTTTAGCTGGAATTTACTATTGCCAGTATGTATCATTCTGTGTCTGAAACCAGTCACCCTTTGCAAACAGAGGAACAAGAAATAGGCATTGATCCCTTGCAGAGTTATTTGCACAAGCCAGGTGAAGGTGAGTTTTGTATCTCTGTATGGTTTTGACTTTATACCTATAAACATTATATAAGTGTGTCATGATAACTGTAGCTGTCATAATTTGTTTAATTCTCTCAATGAAGTTGAACAGGGCAACTTAAAGAACATTTCACAGAGTATGTGTAGAACACTCTGACACTAATGAAAACCACGAAAAGTCAACTTTCAATTACAGACAGAAACATTAGCCAAATGTTTAATGCGCTGTCATCCTTTTTTAATCATAAACCAAACACTGACTTCAGCATAAGAATATTGAAATGCAGCATGGTTTCATGTTACTTTCTCAAGCATGGTTTTAGACTGCCTTAGTTTTAGGGATTTCTTCTGGTTTCTTTTTTAATTCTGCAGTAAAGTTCAGTATGTTATTTTGGCTGAGATTATGCAAATAAAAAGGCTGATTTTCCTTTTTTTGTTGTTTGACTCAGCACCTATATTCTTATTTCGAAAAAAAATCTGGAAGTTGAGTTAGAATGAACAGGCTCTAAAGGTAGAAATTACTGTGTAACCTAAAGTAAATTTATTAAATGCAGTATTTGGAAGACTTTAATGAACAGTGAGAACAAACTGCTTGCATAATGCAATGAATGTCTGTGTTGCTTGTCTTTTCTACTTATTTGCTAGTAGTGACAGTATAGTTGGTTCGAAGAAAGTGATAAGCTTAACGAGAAAGCTCGTCCTTGTCATGAAAACATTCCTCAAGTACTCAGTTATGCACAGTGGCACCTTAACTACCTGTAATTTTCCAGTCATTGAACACATGTACCAGGAGGGCAAAATAAAAAATTTATTTTAAATTAGAGTTGAAACAACTTTGTCACATTTCCTAAGTCCCTCACCCAGATCAACCAGTCTGTGTGGGTGTATCTGTCTATAAATCTTCTGTTTACTAGTGCTTATTAAAAAAGCTATGGGAAGTTTTGTTTAGTTGTGTTTATTACTTCAGTTTATAAGAAGCTGATGTTTTGCTTTAAAATATATTAGTAAAAGTTCCTTGTCCCTTTGAGCTAATTTTTTAAAATTTTTTCTGCATTGGTTTATAGAGCTTTTTCAATGTTAGAAGATGAGAATGAACATCTAGGGGGAAGTATTTTAAAACCTGACAATTAAATGAAATAGCTTTTCTAGGTCAGTGCCACTCCTCTATTATATTTGACATCTTAACAATATGGAGCCATTTTAGTTTGCTAAACTAAATGCACTTTTGTCCATGTTTTTAGAAACTTGAAAATAATCTTTTGCAATAACCTAAAATACTAACCATTTTCCAGAGGAAATATAGCTTGCTTCTAGTCAACTCCAATCAAGAAAAAGATAAGCATTTTCTTCTGATCATTTTCCTTAAAAAATACTGGTAATTCTCTCAACTTGGTTTCAAGAAAAAACAAGATTTTTACCCTGTTTAAAAAAAAAAAAAACACTTTAAATTAATTTTGCCCTTTATTGTGCCCAGAGCGATTAGTTACCTTGACTGAAAAGGTTTCTCATTTTTATCCCAACCTTAACAGTTCTATGACATACAAAGTTATTAGTATTGAATTGATGTTTAAAAGTGCCATTAATTCATTTACCCCAAATGTTCATTAACAATGTAAATGTATGCTGATGTTCTATGAGACAAGGAAGTGACTAATGACTCTTCGCACTAACAACACTTAAAATGAATAGAAACTTTAGATAGCTAATCTTGAAGTAATCAAGACCCTCATTCAGCTTGGCATCTCTGTATGCTCTAAAACAGCTGTCAACTGTTAAAAATATATACACAACACACACATACGCACATGCGAAGATAAAGATATGTAAATACATGGTTCCCCAAGTCATAAAGGTTACCAACTATGGTATATTTTTTATGTTCTATCTATGTAAATATTTTATATAAAGCATCCATTTCATCTCCATAGGATTTTTTACTGTGAAACACATACTGCATTTTAATTTGAAACTTTATGTATCCCAAACAAATCTTTGAAGTTTTAATATTTCATTTTAAATAAAACATAGACTTAGATGGTGTTACATCTTTGGACATCAAAGTATACAGTCATTCCTGTCCATGCAGTCTGTCCATCCTTGTCTTCACAGAAGTATTTCAAGACAAAGTTTTTCAGCTTGACCTCAAGTTTCAGGCATTATACAGAATCAACTTGGTGAAAATCTGTATCTTCTGTATCATATATCCTAGGAATATGGAAGAGAGGTGATCCATCAGTTGGAGATGTTCTATGAAATATTATAGAATATCAGGACATCTGAATTGTTTTTTTGAAGCTGTGCTGTGTACTTAAAGTATTATCTTGAAGGCAAAGTGATAGAAGTCTTCACTTAGATGGGGTAATAAAAATAAAACATCACTGATAAGGATGCTGAAATAAAATATTTAATCATAGACCTAGTCAAATTCATTAATCTACATGAAGTATTGTATTTTTAGTATGTGCTGCTGATACCAAAAGCTGATGGAGAAGCAGGAGATGTTCTGTCCAGCTCGAATTTTGAAATACTCTTAGAAGGCATTTTCATAAAATGAAAGAAATCTCAGAAATACATGGATTGCTGTGAGGCATAGCTGGTTGGAAAACTGCATGCATAGACTACTTTTTGTTCACTTACTGTCAGCTAGGAAGGATATATTGGATGGGATTCCAGAAATATGTTGATTGAGTCTAGTAGTATTCAGTGCTTTTATTAAAATCTCAGTGAAGCTATATAGAGAAAACATGGTTTATTTGAGACAGGGCTCTTAGCACAATGAAGGGCACACATACAGTTCAAAGTATTCTTGAGATTTTGGAGAAGTGGCCTGAGAAGAATGAGATATGGTTCGCTAGGAACAGCTGCAAGGATTAATGTTGCGAATGCTAGGCAGGAGACAATTACCTAGCTGAAAAAAACAAAAGTAGAGCATTACAGATGAGGTAAGTGTCATTTGGAGAAAGATCTGGGCGTTCATAGCACTCCAAATTTTGTGTAACTGAGGAACTTTCAATCTTGAGTTATGATGAGTCATGAGAATGTGCTTGTTTGCAAGTTTTAAAAATTCAGGAGAGGCTGTTAACTAATTGACAGTCAAGATCTTTTTTCTATCCCTTTAAAATATTAAAAAAAAAATAGATAAGATAGTGTTTCAGTCTTTTTCTGATGGTTGATTTGGCCTATGCTATTCTCCTTATGTCTGATTTTTTTTCAAGATAGAAGATTGTGCATTGAGTATATGTATTTATATATGCTTTTTTAATATCATTCTTAATGGTAAGAAATCTGTGGCAGAGATTCTTACTTTTGTATTTTGATACTTCAAATGGAAGATTTAATTCATTTAAGAAATTTTAAGTTTGGATTATATCTTTTAGATCTGGTTGTATTTTAATTTACATGCATGTATGTATGTGTGCATTGTTGTTTGCTTTTGACTATAGTAAGTTAATGGTATCTTGCTACATTTTCTGTTCTAAGAATCTTCATGATATTGTTCATTTTATTCTAACAATTTTTTTAATTATTCCCCCTGAAATAGGGAACTTTATCAGAGAAACTGATGAACCTTACTTTTTTTAATCTCCAGCAGAGACTTTATAAATCCTGAATATATGAAATTTCAGAAACTTTGTTATTCTGCCTTCTCTTTCTGCATTGCATCTGACAAAATATTTTGTTTGTTTCCAGATGCTTGAGGTTTCTATTACATTAAAATGGAATAACTAGGTTAACTGTTTCTGACCTGCTGTAAATTTTTACTCTGAGTTACAGCATTCACCACATTCTGACACAAGTTGTAAAGAGTGTAGTAGGTAGTATTCCCATTTCATTGATGTAATGAGAAAGTTGATCCTCTAAGGACAGGCTGGAACAATGCATTTAATACTCTTCAATTTAATTTGCTCGATATCACAATTAATACAATTAAGGTCACTTGAAATGAAACTATTAACGAATTGGGTAATTTACTTTAACAATGTCAGTGTGTTCTCACAATTACATTTGCTTTAATTAGTGTACAAGCTATTACTTAATAGCATACTTCACATAGAAAAATGTAATGTGTTCTTTGTTCTTAATAGAAGAAAAGGGGAAATGTTTAATGGGTATGAGTGGTTTGGATTTGGAGTTGGAGGGGGGGATATATTTAATGTTCGAAGGCTACAGTTGGTGAGGACAGAGAAGGCTGATGTAGCTGGAAGGACAAAGATAACTACCAGAGTGTGTGACTAAAAGTAATCCAGTTGAAGATAGATCAGTTGCCCACCTCATACTTACCATTGCATCCATCCTCATTGTCGAGGTTGCAGTGAAAAAAATATGAGAGATAGCAAGAGAACATTCATATTTCCATTTTGATCATATTCTATGTGTTTCCATTGCTTTTCTTTGGAGAATTTTCCTGGTTTGGTATTAACCTCATAACTCTGATCACTGGAAAGTATTACCATGTAGAACTACACCTTGCATGAAATTTGAGATACCTGGTTTATATCAGTGTTATACAGAAAACATCTAGAAAATGAGGGGAATGAATTAATAAAGTAAATGTCACCTTTTCTGGACCTAACAGGACCCATGCGCTATCAAATAATTTCCCCAAATCTTAAGTGTCATTCATACGGAACTGCTTTGGTCTTGGGTACATCCTTTCACCTTCTGGGGTTAAGCGAATTTTTGATGTCAGAAAATTGTATTATCTCCTAATCAATCAGTAGCTATTCAGTGTTACAAGTTGGGTGTTTTTGCCCTTACAACCCCCTTCAGTCAGGGAGACAACGCTAATGCAGATTGCCCTGTATGGCATTTATCTGTCTCTGGTTTTAGAGATCATTTCCATGATGACATTTAAAAGAAGCAGCCACAGAAGTCTAGACCTCTTTGTGTGAGAAGTACATTCCTAGGTAAAAGCACCTGAGAATGCAAATATAGTGAGTTCTTGGAGCCTCACTACTTTCTTATCAAATATTTTTGGTAGTGTATTGTATGACGTCA